CCCCCCCCCCCCCGCCGCACAGGTACCGCGGGGGTCTCACCCCTTTCCCCAGTGCAGGTGCCGGGGGTCTGACCCCACTTGCCACAGGAACCAGGGCTCTCACCCCCTCCGTGGGTACCGGGGGGTCTCACACCCCCTCCCAGTGCAGGTACCGGGGCTCTCGCCCCCCCCCAGCCGCAGGTACCGGGGTTGTCACCCTCCCCGGGGGGGGCTCAGCGGGATGCGGTGCCTGGGGTGACAGCCCCAGCCCTGGCCATGTCCCCCCGCAAGGCCAAGCGGGCTGGGGGCCAGTCCCCCGAGGGGGAGGCGGAGGTGGTGGCAGTGGCGGCAGCCCCCCCCCGGGCCTCCCCAGGCATCCGCAAGCGCAAGGACTTTGTGGCGCAGCCGGGGGGCCGGATGGAGGAGAGCCCCAACATCTGCGTGGAGTGCGGGCAGAGCTTCGCCCAGACCTCTGGCCTCGCCAGCCACCGCCGCAGCCACGCGGCCGCCCAGCCCCACCGCTGCCCCGACTGCGGCAAGAGCTTCGGCGTCAGCTCCAGCCTCAGCCGCCACCGGCGCATCCACACCGGCGAGAAGCCCTTCGCCTGCCCCGACTGCGGCAAGAGCTTCAGCGACAAGTCCAACCTCACCCAGCACCGCCGTGTCCACACCGGGGAGAAGCCCTACCGCTGCGGCGACTGCGGCAAGAGCTTCAGCCGCAGCTCCCACCGCAAGAAGCCCCTGCGGCCCCCCCCAGCCAGCAAGCGCCCGCCGCGCTGCGGCGCCCAGCCGCGGGACGGGGCAGCTGGCGGCAGCGGGCCAGCCAAGGCACGGCGGAAGGCGTCGGCGCTCAACACCTGCGGCGAGTGCTGGCAGAGCTTCGGCCAGAATGCCGACCTGGTGAAGCACATGCGCATCCACACCGGGGAGAAGCCCTTCCAGTGTGGCCACTGCGGGAAGCGCTTCAGCGTCAGCTCCAACCTCACCCGCCACCGGCGCATCCACACCGGTGAGAAGCCCTACACCTGCGCCGACTGCGGCAACAGCTTTACCGACAAGTCCACCCTCACCCAGCACCGCCGTACCCACACCGGTGAGAAGCCCTATGTCTGCGGTGTCTGCGGGAAAGGTTTCAGCCACAGCTCCCACCACAAGCGCCACGAGAAGATCCATCGTGGGGACGGGCCCCTCCTGGCCTTCGCGCCGCGGCCCTTCTGAGGACGGCGGGGGCTGTGGCGGGGCTGGTGGTGCCGCTGGTGCTATGCGGTGGCTGCCGGAGGGCTCCAGTGGTGGCCCTGAGGGTGCTGCGCCCAGGGAACCCTCTCCCCCAGGGACAGCCGCGTCTCGTTAGGAAGCTCTTAATTTCCATTTTTGACCTTTGTTCATTCCCTGGGGGTTTCCCCTCTGGTTTGTGGGGCTCAGTGCCCCCAGCAGCTCTGCTCGTCCCGGCCAGCCGCGGTTCCCCAGCCCCGCCATCGGTGCCACCTGAGCTGCTGCAGTGGCTGGGGGGTCCTGGAGGTGGAGCCCCCCCGCATCCCGTCCCTCCCGGTGGGTTTTGCCGCCCCACGGTCCTGGGACAATAAATCCCAATGGAAAACCCAGCCCTGGCTCCTCTCTGCCGGAGCTGCCGCCGTCCCACTGCACCAGTTGCTCCAGCACGGTCGCTCCCCATTCCCAGGCAGAGCACCCCGAATGAGGCTTTTTTGGGGGGTCCGGGTAGCATGGACCTTCCTCTCACGGAGGGTCCTCCTGGCTGAGCCTGCTCGAGTGGGAGCCCCCGTCCCACTCCTGAACCCCCTCCGGGGTGGGGGCTGAGCCCGGCCCCTTCCCAGGGGCGTTTGCAGATCGGGGTGTGGGGGGGGGGCACGCTGCGGCCGCCCCACGCGCGAAACGGGGTGCACAGTCGGGAGAAGGACAAAGGCGGGGGGAAGCCCCCCAAGCTCCCCCCGTCCAGGTCCGGGGACCTCCTGGGTGCGGGTGGGGGTCGCTGCCCGCGGGGGGGGCCGTGGGGCCGGGACCCCCGTGAGCGGCTCCCGCGTGGTGTCGGGGGGACGTTGGGGGAATGTCG